TCAAAAAATTCTACCGAGTTTACCGAGTTTTTTTATCGATCTGCAAAATGATCGTCCGTCCCGTGACTTTTGAAATTAGCTGTAACAAAATATTTATTTTACAAGACGTAACATTTATTATATTTTATAATTTATGATTCATATTGACTCGGAGAGTTAACTGTGCACTGCGCTTGTCTTTCCAAACAATAAATGCAATGAAACGCAATACAAAGAACTTCAGCAATGCTACCGCAGTACCGCAGTATTAATAATCAAATCATACGCCACAAATAAAATTATAAATACCGTAGCGGGTGAACGTTATTTTAAAAAAAAGACTTCGCACTCTCTCTTCTTTCCCCTAATACGTACATATATATTTTTTTTCTTAATTTTTTTAATTCTAAATACAATTAAAGAAAATTCATTATCTTTAAAATTATTGAATACAATCACTTTGTTAATATGTCGTCTTCGGTTGATCCAAGTATTACGACTCCTTCCACAACTAATAATGAATCAACTTTTGGACCTGAAAATACTAGAACAGTAGACAATGTTTATGGACATAGCGATCACAGTCGTGGTGGTCGTGGCCGTGGTCGCGGTCGCGGTCGGGGTCGTGGTCGCGGTCGAGGACATCGTGGTAGAGGCGGATATTATTATAATAACAGTTCATATACTTATTCCAACCAGGAAACTTCAACTGCAAATACATCATTACGAGCAAATTCTACATTAAATGATAATCAACAACCACAATCACCTATTCAAAATAATTCAACACAGAGTAATATTGATAATTCTTCAGAACTTGATAATCGAGGTTTAGTAAATAATGGTGGTAGAGGTTATAGTAAAAATCGTTATGGACGTAAAAATCGAAATAATAATAATAATAATAATAATAATAATGCCCAAGATAATAGTGGACAAAACACTTCAGCAATAAATTCAACTTCTAGCTTGCCAAGTAATCAATATAATAAATATCATAGGGGTCGTAATAATAAATCTGGTGGCCCAGTTCCAAATGAAAGTCGTGAACTCATTACAAAGAATGAAAATCAATCAAATAGTTTGAATCTTGATTCAGATCAAAGCAATGCTGCCTCAACTAGTGAAACAAAGAGAATTCATTCAAAGAATCCAAAGGATTCTCAACCTGTTTACAGAAATAATAATGAACCTAAAATTGATGAATCTGATCCAAAAGGCAAAAGACCTATTGTTTCTAAAACAGAAGCATCATCATCAAATCATAGAAATTCTCGTCAATATATGCGTCCAAAGAATTCATCAATAAATAAATTCTCTCCTAATGAAATTAAGGACGTACTTACTTCTATCACACATGGTCTATCAACGTCGACATACGAATGTATGATTTGTTGCGAGAATATACGTTCTTATCATAAAACTTGGTGTTGTGGAATTTGTTGGGCAGTTTTTCATCTTAATTGCACTCAAAAATGGGCAAATAAGTCATTTAACGAATCTACATCATGGCGTTGTCCAGGCTGCCAGAATCGATGTGATGTCATTCCAGAAGTATACAAATGTTTTTGTGGTAAGTATTATTATTATTTATTATACTCGAATTCAATATGATTTACTAAATTGATGTGTAAATTATCATAGGTAAAACAGAAAATCCGTCTAATAATCGATATTTTACTCCTCATAGTTGTGGGAATGTTTGTGGCAGAAAACGTGATTGTCCTCACGATTGTACTTTGTAAGTTTATATTTCTTATATATGTTATAAATTGAATTTAATTAGTTTTAAACATTTCGTAATTTTTAAATTAGGTTATGTCATCCTGGACCTTGTCCTCCTTGCTCTGCTATGGCACCTGCTCAATATTGTTATTGTGGTCGCAAGACCTTTAAACTCAGATGTATTGATACTGATTATGGTAACGGCAAGTCTTGTGGTGAAGCATGTGGTCAATTGTTAGGCTGTGGTAAACATTCATGTGAGAAGGAATGTCATGATGGAACATGTCCTAAATGTAATATAATTGAAATACAAAAATGTTATTGTGGACAAACAGAACGAGAAGCAAGATGTAGTGATGGAATAGCTATTTTTTGTTACGAAGAGTGTAATGGCGAATCTAACACTTGGACTGGCTTTTTCTCATGTAAGAATGCTTGTAGCAGACTGTTGGAGTGCGGTCATCATTCTTGTGCAAAAGAGTGTCACCCAGTTACTGGTGACGTTGAACTTTGTCCATTAGATCCATCACGAGTGCAAACATGTCCTTGTGGTTCTAAAAGCATAATTTCTTTACTTGGACATGAAAGGTTATCTTGTACTGAGGAAATACCACTTTGTGGTAATATATGCAAAAAGTTGCTTTCGTGCGGCCATGAATGTCAAGGAACATGTCATCATGGTGATTGTAAGCCTTGCAACATACGTATACGCGTCAAATGTCGTTGTGGAACTATGGAGTATGAACGGATTTGCTCTGAAGTAATTGGCGAGACTGGTGAACCACCTATTTGTGATAAAATTTGTAATGGCGATAGAAATTGCGGTAGACATCAATGCGTTACTCGATGTTGTCCCTCTGCAAATAAACCTAAAAGATCTAAGAGATGGGGCGATACACAAGATGATGATGAGAATCATCGTTGTCCTTTAATTTGTGGAAAGAAATTGCAATGTGGCAATCACTATTGTCAGTTACCGTGCCATAGAGAATATTGTTTGCCTTGTTTAGAAGCATCATTTGAGGAATTAACTTGTCCTTGTGGACGTACAAAGGTTGATCCGCCAATTCAATGTGGATACAAAATTCCTTCATGTCCATATACTTGTATTAGAAACAGAGTGTGTGGTCATTCAGATATCGCACATCCTTGTCATACTGATGAAGAACCTTGTCCACCTTGTCCTTTCTTAGTGAACAAAAAATGTATGTGTGGTAAATCCGTGGTTAGAAACGTACCTTGTCACAGAACTAATGTAAGTTGCGGTCAAGTATGTGATTTACCAGTTAGTTGTGGAGGCCATCGTTGTAAACGCACTTGTCATTCAGGTGATTGTTTAATAACGAATCAGAGTACTTCTGGTAAATGTATTCAAACTTGTGGAAAGCTACGTAAAGTTTGTGGCCATCCTTGTACCGCACAATGTCATGCCCCAGCAAGATGTCCTGAAGATGTACCATGTCGGGTCAAAATTGTTATTAATTGTAAATGTGGTCATCTTTCACAAGAAGTATCTTGTAACGTAACAGCAGAAAATGGGTTAGAAAAGAAAAATCGACAATTGACTTGTAATGACTTTTGTGCTTTAGCCGAAAGAAATAGAAAACTAGCAGATGCATTAGAGATTACTGATCGTGTTGGTGATGGGTACGTAAAGTTTTGTAATATTCTATTGAATGTATGTGTGTGTTTTCATAATTAATGAATTGTTTTATTTTTATTCATTACCTATCAGACCCTTTATTAAAGCTATTCCGGAATATGAGGAGGATCTATTTAAATATTTTGCCGTTAACAAGGAATGGGCTAGAAATATTGAAACAACCTTGGGAGATTTTATTATGAAGTCAGAAAAACCTACTTTAAATTTACCACCGATGAAGTCACCTCACCGCAAGTTTATTCATATGCTATGTGTTCATTATCGATTGTCATCAGAAGGAGTTGATGTCGAACCTATGAGAAGTGTTGTTGTGAAAAAAAAGACCGATACTATAATTCCACCAATCCTTCTTTCACAAGCATATTCTAATTATAATAACAAATCAAATAGTAGTGCTGCTTCTTCAACTGCACTTGAACAATTAGTGCGTAAGCCAAAACAACCTGTCAATGCAATTTATTTAGCAGAATTACAATTTGGAATGACAATAGAAGAACTTCATAAAGCTATAGAACCATTAATGGGAAAATGTAGGTTTCAGATTAAATGGGTATCAGATGGTGACGCAATTGTTTTACCATCAGTTGGTTCTTTTCATATGGATGAATTAGAAATTTTTTTAGTAAAGCTAAAAACTTTAGTTAAAGATCTTATAGTTCCCAAAGGGATCGTTGCATGGGTAGAACTTTGTTGGGTAAATTCTAAATATGAAGTAGGATGGCGTGAAAGAGTAAAACTTTTAAATAATCTTGGTGTGCCTGCTATTGAAGGATATCCAAGGAATCCTTCGGTTCCTTCTTCAATTGGGAACAATAATCCTTTTGATATTTTAGCTAACGCATTCAACAATACTTCTAGTGGTACCACAAAAGATGGTGCGCCTATTTTGGATATTGGTATTGGCAGTAGTAGTAGTGGTAGTAACAATAATAAGTCATCATCTCTTAAAAAGCAAGTTGCTCAAGATATTGCTGATGACTGGGAATTAATTTGTGATGAATAAGAATTATATTTCGGTATATGATGTGTATAATAATATAATATTCTTGTTGGATGGATTTGTTATTTTGTAATTTTAATAAATTTTTTTATTGTTTCTTAAATTTTAACAATATTTGACAATTTATTTTTCTTTGATTATAATGAAGATATCAATTTTCACAATATACAAATTTAGTAATTGTTTTGATGCGATATTATAGCTATCGTATTCCTTCGAAAATAAGCAAACCAAATTTTTATGATCCCTTAAATTGTCTAGCAGGCAAATTTATCTGTGAAAAGTATTAATTATTATTAGCATAAAGAAAAGAATGTCGAAAAGCTTGTGTGATATCGCTAAGCTTATTTAATACATCTTTTATATTAGATTTATGACTAAAAATGGATTAGTCTTTTCTTCGTTTTTATATATACTTGGATGCTTTACGCTTATGCTTATTGCTTATTTTTTATAATTATAACTATAATAATTATTAATTAAATAATAGAAAGGGTTCGTCTCTTTTTTTTTCTCTTTAGAATTTTAGAATTATTAGAGAGAAAGAGAAAAAATTGTTATTTAAAGTAAAAAAAAATCGAACCCGTTGACTAAAATGCCCGCGAAAATTTCACTAATTTGTATCATTCAGTCATGGAAAAAGACAAATGCCTACATCATAAGAGCGATCGCGAGAAAGGAAGAAAACTCTTAAGCGATATGTTTCGTCCCAAAGAAGTCCAACCGTATCCAGATGGGTTTCCTTTTTTTGAAACCGAAAGTATCCTACCTCATGAGAACACCCTACAGGTAAATTAAATATCTTTACCTTTCCATTCCCTATTTCAATTAATTAATTAAATTAATTATTTATTTATTAACAAAAAAAAATACACTGATAAAGATGACAGCAAATGTGGGTGATCTCACCGGACTCACTAAAGACACGTTATCTCCTGGTTCCATCTCTGTATTCATCACTGGTTTCATTGTGGAAACTATGAGACTGACGAAATCATTTAAGATCACTGTTAACGAATACTCTGAAAGTAGTACTACTGGTAACAAGTTTCGCGTCACCTAGAATCTGACGATAGGATTGACAGGAAAATAGTCAAGATCTGAAAAAAACTCCATTATGATCACCAGAGAATTGAATTACGTCAGATCAGAGTTCGTGGTTAACGTGCAATATGTGAATTTTTTAACGATGTCAACCGCTAACCTCAAAGTGGCCTCAACCTCGTATCCATGACCAACGACTGAGCAACCATCAGGTAAAGTATTGGCTCAAACGATGGCAGACGCAGACGCTTCGAGTCCTGATAACGATAAACCAATGGACCCGTGAATGAAATAAACCCACTTTCATCCCACTTCCGTTTTTATTCCATTTTAAATGGTTAACTAATATTCATGAAATAACAAATATATATATTTATCCATAAGTATATTATCCTTTTTATTATACGAATAAACATTCTAAGATCGCGAAAAAAATCCGCATCATTATTCTCTCATACATACAGTTCCAAGGGAGACCGTCCCCTGTTACACAAATTTCCCGATTTGTCAACCAATCAAAATCGTGAATTATATCACGTGACACCTAATAAAAAATACTATTATAACTGATGCGAGTTACATAAATCAGTAAAATTATATCACAAACGCATAAATCATT